ATCATGCTAACCTCAGTCTATATTAGAGAAACATATGCAGGGATGTATGCATGTAAACAAGAGATAAGCATGGATGAAGCATATGAACAGAGAAATAAATATGTAGGGATATATGCATATGCACAAGTATGATTACATCAATAACATTCATCAACATACAAAATATCCCATCATATAAAAATGAGAAATCAAAATCCTAGACATAATCTCTAGCGTAAATGAAGTTGCTCAAGTAATCATACAAACAATTAAATTATATTTGAAGAAAAATATATGCCTAAATAAGGCATAAAAAGCCTAAAATCTACCCCCAAAACGGTAGTATAACTTTAGTTTTCGCATATACGCTCCTCACCTCGCATATACGCCACCCCCAAACATGTAGCATTTAGTATATTAATTCATTTTAAGAAAAGTTCCCTCAAGCCGAGATAAACAAGATACTTACTTTATTTGAGGCTAGCTCTATTCTTCAAAATTTGCTTTTTCTAGCTCTAAATTCTTCAACAAACCTAATCTGTCCCAAAGAATATTCAATGAAGTCAAATAAATCTATATAAACTATTTCCAAATGGTAAAGCTTCATTTTTAACAAAATCTCAAAAAGCAACAAAAGTTAACCCGGAGGGCACATGCTCAAAAACCCAGAACAAAGACGAATATGTAATTAGTTTCCAAAGTCGAGTCCAAATAAATTTTAAAAACCCTAAAGGATACTTTTTAACATTCAAGTCAAAATCCTCTTTTCCTCTTTTGAATCCTTGATTTTTAGACAAATTTGATGATAGATTCATGTTATAATCAAAGATTCGAGTGAGGATCACTTACCTTATTGTCTTAGGTGAAAGTCGCTTAAAATATAGCCTCAATTTAAGCTCCTAGATCTTAAAATAATATAATAAGGACCAAGTACGAAATAGAGTTTTATAGCAAAAGGCTGAAATTTCAACTTCAAATATGGGACGCCCTCTCAAAAGCGAAGGGTCCACACTTCGCTCCTCCCCTTGGATTGCAACATAGGATGGACGCAAGGTGTCCACCTTGGCCTCCGCATCTGATGTAATTTTTTTTTTATTTTTTCACTTCCAAACCACTCGCCAAATACCCCCAACCCCTGATATTAATTGAAGAGCAGTTCATTTAAGGCATTGAAGAGTAGTTCAATATTAAATAACCAAAATTGATGGCCAATGCTTTTTAATTATGGAAATGGATTACAATGGCATAGTGATAAAGACGTACGAGCATGTAATAATAATAAGAAGAAACTGCAGTTAAGTTGGTGGCAGCTTTCATCAAGATTCTTTTTCATTTTCCAAATTTGGCTTCATTTAATGTCCAATATATGTTTTAATTTTTGTACTCTCTTTGACCCCGGGATTTCATCAATTTTCTTATCTATTTGTGGATCTCAATCCAGTATTTAGGAGTTGTAAACTTGTAATTGCCCCAAATAGCAAGGGGTTTTTACTAATATCAGCCAAGACTTATCACAATATATTCCTCAATTATAGTATAATACATCATTCAGAGCTCTTGATTTTGTATATAACATGTGATTGCTGTTTTAATTCTTATAAATTCACTCCACTGTAGCTTTCATATCAATTAGGTTCTTTATAAGTGTTGAATAATGAATGTGTACAACTATCAGTCTAGTTTTTACAAGTTCTAAGTCTTGACACCTATTATTATTATGAAATACGCTACTTAATTCTATAGAATCTTTCTCAATCATCTAGAATGGAACTTGTATACAACTCCTTCTACTTCCCTACATAATCTATCACATTTTGTTTCCTGATCATCTAAACGAGAACTAGAATGCAACTATTTTGACTTGCCCTAGATGACTTTCACACGGTGGCGGAGATAGGATTTTTGTGAAAGAGATTCAAAATATATATAATTTAAAAAATAAACACGCGAAGAAATCAAGAGCGTTCACAAATTTTAATCAAAATTGTTTTTTATCATAAACTTACCAAGGTGATTCATTGTCTATAATAATGACTTTAAATTAAACATGAAATAAAAGTTAACAAGCTAAAGAACAAAAAAAGAGAACCATCACTATTGAAAGGTCAAAAGAAGATCGATGATATATGGACCTCATCAATCGAAAGTTGATTTGAGCATTAACAATGATAAAAAGGTATGGCACACATTCTGACTGCTGCTATGTCTACTGTATACCTTTTATTCTTGAACAGTAATAATGTATGTTGGTCCCTTGTGCCCCAAAATGGTATTATAGCAATGGGACCAAACTGCAAACCAATATGAAACAACCCGTGATCGGATCATATTTTAAGATTTATAAGTGCAAAGCATATTATTGTTGTTCTGGAAAATTTGTACACCACGTTTGTTTCTATGTATGTAAAGAACTTTTAGGTTTTATCCATTTGGTGATACCCTCTCTTTTGCCTTATGAAAGTGGCATGTTCTTCTTAGCAAAAATGAAATATTCATTTTAGCTATAGTTAGCAATAAGACACCTAGTATTACGGACACCCTTTGCCCCTATGTCTTTCTTTCCTATTTAAAATAGCAATGGTTATATCGATTTCTACTCAAATTAGAATAATTCTTATTGTCACTTATTATCATAGAAAATTTTCATGTGCTTGACTTCTCAAAATATATTCAAGCTTGCACGTAAAGGGACGTGCTTAAAACATAATTAAGTGAATAAAACAATGCTTTCTCTAATAATTTAAGCTTTCTAATGAGATAGTCGTAAATTTCATCACTAATTCCAATATTATAACGGTCAATAAGGATTAACGTTTCATTTGTAGTTGATCAATAATTCGTTATCGGATGACAAACGTTGAGATTATTATTTACCCTTAAAAATGGATAATAATTGAATTTATAAGCGATCTTAATGATATGTGGACTAATTCAATATAAATGATTAATGACGTTAGATAACCAAATAAAGAACATAGCGAACTACCAAACCTAGTGATGATAGTGAGTCCGGGCTCGGTTAAAGGCTTAACAAGAAGCTCGCCTTCGGTTCCGAACCAATGCTTAAGAAGAACTTATGAACCAAAACGAGAAACTTTGAACAACTTTTAGAAACAGAGAAAAATAGATGTATATTGCCTTGGTATGCGTGTTATAACCTGTCTCCTGAATAATAAATCTCCCCTTTATATAGTAAAGGATATTTACCCTAAGTACAATCCTAAGAAATGTAAAAATCTTCTTTCAAATTACTGATATGCTGCTGATATGGGCCGAGATCTACGCCGTGATATCCGGTTGGGCACGGATATCACGACCCCTTGTTAATCGTGTGAGGTCATTTGGTAACGCTTTTCAAGGTCTCGTTATTCAAATCGGGTCCGGGGGCATGGTCTCGATGGCTCCGAAGGCAGATGTTTTGTCCGAGCTTTGATACGGGCGGCTCCAGGCCTCGATTCTAGTCCATGCAGTTATGCCCTCACTTCATTCACCCCACCAGGAAATCGGGAACCTCGATTCTAGTCCATACAGATAGCCCCTTTGTTTCTCAGAGAGCAGGTTTGTCGAAACGTTGAGAAACGACCTATGTTCTTCGGTTCCTTCTTCCGTACGTTATATCAAAAATGACGAAGAAGTCAAAACGTCCCGTCAGTCGCGTTGTTCAGACCGAATGTGAAGCGACGCGAACTTTCTCTATAAAAGCTTCTATCCCTTGTTCTTTTCCTACTTTCCGACCAGGCTTCTACCCTCGAACTTTCAAGCTATCATCAATTTTCTTCAGAGCTTCATATCTTCATCCTAATTCTTCAAACCTTCATAATGATTTCCAGGTTTTTACACAGATTTTCCTCAATTGATTATACTCAACTCTTCATCCTTCAAACTTATTCCTCTTTCTCCAACTTTTCAAATCTTTTCAGATAGAAATGGCTAAAACATTAAAATCAATTCCTCAACAAGTTGCCTCTTTATCTTCCCAACCGGCCTCCGGTACTGAGGCAGTAGCTTCTAAAGTAGTTGCCCTCAAGACGGTTTGTCCCGAGGTGGGTGCCGACGAACCGACCCCCGAGCCTCTCTTGAAAATATTTATTCCCGGGGCTGCTCAACTGAAGACGACTTTAAGGTCGAGAAACCCTCATGCAAACAGGACTGGGGTGAAGGAGCATCAAGTTGCATAGGCTCCGTGACCGAAGATGTTCTTCCCGTGGTCCGAAAGGATTGTAACTGGGAAGGTAAGGACGTAGTAGTCCTCGGGCCCGAGGACGCCATTACTACCCATGTGCAGGGGTACTTAAGTGTTTACACTTATCCCTTCACACTGTGCCCGGTGGACCTGGTTGTTTTGGATCGCAAGAGGTACGAGTTGTGCCTCGGGCAAATCCACTCGTCTCTATGGAGGATCGTGATCCTACTTCATTAGAGATTATATTCTAAGACATAAATAAGGGTAAAATAGTTTAACTCCGCAATTATGTTTTGAATTATATCATACTTATAACTATACCACATAGGCCATTGTGTTACTTCCTTTCGTTAGGTAATATATTAAATAAAAGGGGAAGAAGGATTATATTGATATACTATGTGACCGTTATATGAACTAGTTATTAGATTGTTTTCTTTATTCATGTAAAAAGAAAATAATTTCAGACTTGAGTTGATTAATAATTTTAGTACAATTAAGTTCTTTTTTATGTATCTTTTGGTAGGGCAAAACAATTATGTGTTGATGCCCATAGCATATTCCTATTTGAAAAATATCATATTATATCACTACACATATTTTTTTTGTTGCTAAACCCATTTGAAGAAGTTAGTTGTTAACTTTATTTTGTTATTCATTTGAATATATTGCTTTATCCATGAATTAAAGGGGTGGAAAAATAGGGAAAGTAAAAAAAGTGGGCCGACGTTGTTCCGTTAGGCCTCGCTTTCAAGCCGTCATTAGGCACTGTTGACATTTCATTTAACGGCTTCCGTCACTCCTATAAATACGGGCTCTCTCTTTCTCCTCATAAAAATATATATTTCACTATTAACTTCTCTATTTAACTCTACACCACACTGTTTTTTTTTTTCAAATGGTTGCGTAAAGAAGAAGAGTAGTATCTCTGTCTCAATAATATTCACTTTTTCTTGAGAGATTCATCTTTTCTCTATTCCCGCAAATAGTTTGCTCTTTGTCTTACTGAGAATGGGAAAGAAAGAGCAGATCAACGAACACAAAGACAAAGAAAGAGTTCAAGCTGTTCTTCAACTGCTCAAAAAACAAGCTCCTCTCACTCTTAAACAGGTACTCCACTACTTATAATTAATAAGATACCTAGTTTTTGTTTTATGAATATGTATTTTTACAAATTAAGTGAAAAACATATATATATATATATAGAAATTATAAGTGAAGATGGTTTTGTTTTTTTCTTGTTGCAGGAGAAGTTCTGTAACAGTGGTTGTGTGGAGAGGTTTTTGAAAGTGAAAGGTGAAAATGTCAAGAAAGCTGCTAAGCAGTTGAGAAACTGTCTTGCCTGGAGAGACTCTTTAGGCACTGGTACATTTTTTTTTTTTTTTTGTCTTCTTTAATTATTTCTTCATCATCTTATTAAAATTTTAATTAAACTCCTTTTTATGGCATCCAAATGCATATCCTAATTTGTCTTCTCTTCTTGTTTGTTTTAAAGAAAAAAGAGAATCAGAGAATCTCTCTCGTTTTCATGTGTTCTTTTTTAAATTGTTTGAATGAGCTGAGCTCATTAAAGTACGCAAAATCTAAGCTATGATTAAAGTAAATTCATTCCAAAAGCTTGATCTCATCACTTTATTTTATTTATTTAATTTTTGGTTGAATATTTGTTGCAGATCATCTTATTGCTGATGAATTCTCTGCTGAGCTAGCAGAAGGGGCAGCTTATGTTTCTGGTCATGATCATGAATCTAGGCCTGTTGTGGTAATTTTCATTTTTTTTTTCCATCCTTTCTCAAATTAACATAAAAAATTTCAGTAAATATATAATTGTTCCTTTTTCTTTGGATCAAATTATAGATTTTCCGGATCAAGCAAGATTACCAGAAATACCACTCACAGAAACTGTAAGTTACTCTTCCCTCTGTCCCTTTTGATCTCTTTTACGCCCAAAAAAATGAAGGATTTGAATTAAAACACTTATACTATGAGTATATATAGTTTATCATGTTTTGTAGATTACCAATTCATACTTGCTATGAATAGTTACTTGGCTTGTAATTGACATACTCCCTCAGTTTACTTTTACTTGGCATATATACTAAAAATAGATTTTCATTGTTACTTGTCACTTTACGCATATCAAGAGAATGATAATTTTTTTTCCTGTTATACCCACAGTATTTATTACTCATTTCGAATCATTGTCTCAAATCCAATAAAATATGCATTAATTAATATGAGTATCATGGTAAATTATGTACTTCATTTATTATTTCTTAAGGGGCGTGAAAAGTCAAAACGTGCCAAGGAAAAATGAACGGAGGGAGTATATTTTAATAACTTGATAGTGTAAAACTTCTTCACTTTGTCTTTAAATATACTATATTATCAGCTTAACTCAAATATAAATTAATATTTGCATTCTTCCATTCAATATTCTGTGGTTTAAAAAATTGTAGGTTTACTCGGTTGTTGGTGTTTACACTGGAGGTGGCAATTCAAACCATGGCCAAAAGTGTTGAACAATTTGTTGTTCTCTTTGATGCCAGTAAGTATTTTTCTTGTAATGACAATATTACCCTTGTTTAGCTCATCATGAATTTGAATAGGAAGGATAGATTTTTACTATTTCACACAAGTCTTACATAGTAAACCAGAACTCAGCTTTCTCTCAGTTAGGGGAATTATAATTAATGTACATTCTATTCTGAGGGGTTTCCAAGAATTTTCAGTCTGAATAAATCCTCTTAAGGACCACTTTTTATAAAATTTATAAATCCCATTTCAGATCTTTTTAATTTCCAATGTCACGCTTAATCACTTAATTAAAGAGCAATTAATTAACTAATCAAATGTGGCCTGCATTCAGCAGGCAAGAATCTGAAATATTTTCATGCTTTGCCTGGAGTGCCCTTGAGGTGTTGCTTTCAAGTTTGAGAATGTAGGGGTATAACTGGTCAATCATTTTTTATCTTTACTAGAAAATCTCAATAATGTCATGCAAAAGTACCCATAATTCTACTTTTTCTTAGCCTGTCAGAGTCCAGAACTCAAAGCACAAAGAAAAAAGAAAAAACTGAACATGCTCTGCAGTGAATTTGAATTTTTGTTTTGCTTTTTTCACTTTAGTGCTTCATGACAATTTATTATTGGGGTTATGTTTGACTAAATCATATCATTGGGGGCTGCTGTGATAAAAATTGCAGGCTTTTTCAGGTCAGCATCAGCTTTTATGAACATTTTATTGGCTTCACTGAAAATTATTGCCGATTATTATCCAGGACGACTCCACAAAGCTTTTGTCATCGATCCTCCTTCACTTTTCTCTTATCTTTGGAAGGTATTTCTTTTCGATCACTTAATTCGATCTATCCATTTTTGTTTATAAAGACACACTAATATTATGTCACATATAGCTAACATGTACGATCCGGTATCATATATATCTATACAATTCTACTAGCTCAAGAATAAGAGTACATTATTATGACAATGTAAGCATATTTTATATTATAATGTAGTTTAATTTGTGATAGCATAGTAGTTGTTATTTTTGTCACGTTTACCAATAAAACTTGTGATGATAAGCTAGTTATATATCATTTTTCTTACCAAGTGACTTGTTAATGCATATCCTAATTAATTTATTGTTAATAACATATTATCAGTAACCTGATTTTGTAAATATTTTTCACACCGTCAATTCTTAGATTTTAAAGTCATATATGTTGTAGACAATTACCTATAATTACCTTATAACTAATGATGTAATTACATAAATATATTCTACACAATCATACCTTGAAGTTAAAACACTTCAAGGTCTTTAATTAATATATTATGAGTAACCTGATTGTGTAAATAATTTTACACTATGAATTCTTAGAACTTAAACTCATGTTTGTCGTAGACAATTACCTATAATTGCCTTATAACTAATGTAATTATATAAATATATTTTACATCATTAGTACCTTGGAGTTAAAACACTTATGGTTTTTTTGCAGGGTGTTAAGACATTTGTTGATCTAGCACCATTAACAATGGTGGTATCATCACTTGATTTTGAGGAGTCATTGGAATTCAATGACTTCACTGCTTATCCAAGAGCTGCATCTCTCAGATTCAATCCTTCCTCCATACCATCATCTGGCAAGATTGGATCCTGCTCTTCTTCAAGATTCTCCTTCACTGTGTCACACCATTTTGATTCTGTCAAGCCATGGTATTTGTCATTAACTGACACGTCATCAGCTAAAGTTGGCCCCACCACTACTCCAGTACTGGGCCCAGCCATCTCACCCCTCAATGCTAGGTCCTACTCATTTGCATCACCCATTGCTAGGACTCCACGTGGCAACAACATGAAAGGGTTCTTCCCTTCTACTCCTTTGCCACAAAAAACTCAAGTGTTGGAGCAGTCAGAAATTCGGCATCCTAGGGCTATGAGGCCATCATTTTTTCAATCTCCAGCCATGTTCTTCAAGAAAGATACTAATAATTGCCATATCAGTAGAGCTGATAAGTGTCGTGAATCATTCCAGCCTTTTTTGAAGTTCTATCGTAGGCCGTACGATGAGATGATTTATAGGTCAAAGATGAGACCACCACTAGGTGGACTTATATCTATCGTCTCTCCGCACATCAGGCGTCGACACATGTCTGTCTCTCAACGGTTTTGATTGAAATGCGCCACATGCTCTACAAGGAACCGAGACTTTACCTTTTTTTGTTTTGATTACTCTAAGTACATAAATATGTTTGGTTAATTACTATGATCATTAACCAAGGAGTTTGCTAGCTCCTCAACAAATAATTTATTAATTGTTTATCAATTCTCCCTATGTCCCGAAGAAATTCATTTTTATTTTTTGTGGCTCTAGTTACTTTACATTAGTCATGCTACATTAATTTTGTTTTGGCAAAAGTGAGATTTTTAATAGTTTCTGCAGTAGGACAACAAATTAAAAGCAGACTACGTGCAAGGTGGGATGTGACATATTGTGCGAAAATGTCTCACTTAGTGCTATGGGGGTTTTTACTACCTTCGGGTAATGCAAAAACAATGCTTCGTAACAAGACAACGTGGTCTATACGATAAACATCATATTGCAAAACATTTATGAGCTAATCAAACTTCCAAGAAAACCAACTAAGTTCGTTTCCAAAAATAATTCATTTTTTAAAAAGATTGTCACAAAGACTTCAATTTTTTTAGATTTGTGTTTGACAAGTGGGAGTACGGGGGGGTGTAGAAAACTAAGACACTTTCGTTTGAACTTTATTTACTCCTGTGATGCTTGATAATATATGTCATAAAATAAAGGACCTAAGTTTGAAAATCCTAATCTTGTAAGTTAGTCTTTGTATTAGTTAGTCAGTCAATTTTTAAATTATTATATTATTGGTTTCTTCAACGTTGGCAGAGCTTTGGGTAGGAATATGTGTCGTGGTGCTGTTGTATCCAAAAGTCAAATGGGAGCTTAATATAGCTGACCATATTCTTAATTCTTAATAAATTAAATATTATAAGTACTTTTTTTGTTTTTGTTTAATATACATGACCTTGCGGTAGAAACTGAAACATCGCACGAACATATATGCATCTAAGTAGAAATTAACGTAATATATGGTGTAAAGTATATATAATCCACATATATTTTGTCTTGTATTCGTTTGTCAAGAAGTAATCAAGGTTTATGCAAGTTCTCAATTTACTCATTCTATCCCAGTTTATGTGTCATGTTTTCTCTTCTAGTCTGTCCGAAAAAATATCATAAAAAATATCATATTTTTTATTTAGAAATAATTTATGTGACGACCCAAAGGGTCATCACCTGTTTCCTCATTCATTCTGTGCTTCCGAGGCCTTGAAAACCTCATTTTTACTTGCCTCGATTTGTGTGCGCAGTCCGGGCGCGTAGCCGGAAAGCTTTTATGTTGAAATATGTGAATTCTGTGAAAAATTTGAAGAATTTTGATATTAATATGTTTAAGGTTGACTTCGGTCAACATTTTTGGTAAACGGACCCGGACTCGAGATTGGACGGTCCCGGAAGGTCCGTGAAAAATATGGGACTCGGGCATGTGCCCGGAGTCGAATTCCGAGGTCTAGAGCCCGAGATTGAATTTTTCTGTTTCTGAAATTATTAAGGAAAATAGAAACAAAAATTGATTAAAAGACTGTGGTATCAGGCTCGTATTTTGGTTCCGACGCCCGGTACAAGTCTTAAATATGTGTTAAGCGCTTTCTGTAAAGTTTGGTCGAAATCGGACGTCGTTTGACGTGTTTCGGACCTAAATATCTAAAGTTTGAAGTTTATGAAGTTTGAAAGGAAAATGATGATTTTGAGGCTTGATCCAATGATTTTGAGGTTATTTTGGCGATTTGATCGCTCGAGTAAGTTCGTTAGATGTTATTGAGTTAGGGTGTGTGATTGGTTAGGAGCCCCGAGGGCTCGGGAGTGTTTTCGGAGGTGTTCGGGGTGGTTTTGGACTTAGGATGATATCAGATTTTCTGCAATTTTTACACAGGGATTTCCTTCTTCGCGATCGCGCTCTTCCCCACTCAATCGCATAGCACTGAGTCGTCTTCCTTCGCGATCGCGTCTTGAACCACGCGATCGCGTAAGCCAAATCCTTGGACCCCCAGTAGTTCTTCTACGCGATCGCGTAACCCTCCACGCGATCGCGATGACCAGTCAGTGGTACCCTTCGCGATCGCATCCCTATTTCCGAGATCGCGTAGGGCAATTTTGCCCAGCGAATTTTTAAGTTAAAAACAGAACAGTAGCACGGGATTTTTCATAAAAACACACGAAACCCTTTCTTCTCCAAGCACTTAGGCGTCCATTGAAGCTCCCTTTCATCAAAACTTCTTGGTAAGCATTGTTCAACTTGTTTCCTTCAATTTCCTTCATTAATTAGTGAATTCCTAGCCCTAAAAACATGAAATCAAGGTAGAAATTATGGGTTTTGGGTAGAGTTAGGGTTTTGAGAATTTTGGGTGATTCAACCTCAATTTGGGGTCGAATCTTAAAATAAATTTTGTATTTGGACTCTTGGGGTTATGGGTGATCGGATTTTGGTCCGAGCCTCGAGCTTGGACCATGTGAGCCCGGTGTCTAATTTTGGTATTTTTGGAAGAATGCTAGAAAATTCATATCTAGGCTATGGGATGTTGACCTTGAGTCTTTATTGATATTATTGAATTAATCATGCCTAGATATCACTGTTTCGGAGTCGGATTTTAGAGGAAAGGCGGTCTTTGAAGGTTGATTGCTATTCTTGGGACCGAGGTAAGTGTTTGGTTTAACCCTAGCTTGAGGGAATAGGAGTTGAGTCTTGTTGCTAATTGCTATGTGATCGAGTACGATGTATAGGCATGGTGACGAGTATCTATACATTGGTGTCTAGCATGACCGTGAGTCTTATAATGTGATTATCATGATTTGGTTGTGAACTCCGTGTTTATTGGAGGATTTCTATATGTTGTGAATAACATGTGAACGGTAATAGGATCATTTGATTCCTCGAGCATTGGCTCGAATTGTGATACGAATATTGGAAGTATACGAAATGACTTGATTCTTTGGAGCGTTGGCTCAAAATAGTAAAGTGAATTATAAGATAAGGAAAGTAAGAAAGAGAAAGCGTTGTTGATTATTCCCTTGTCGGGACGTTTGGTTGAACTTGTCGGATTCTTTCCCTTGCCGGGATGGTTGTCAAATATTTGCTTATTTTATGCCCCTTAATTGTGACTGTTGTTTGGGAAGTCAGACTGTTAAATGATATTGAGGATCGGGTTGCGCGCCGCAACAATGATGTTGAGGATCGGGTTGCGCGCCGCAACAATAATATATGAAGATCGGGTTGCGCGCCGCAACAATGATATATGATAAGTGATATGGGTCGGGTTGCACGCCGCAACAATGATATTGTGGAGCGGGTTGCACGCCGCAACAATGGTAATTATGGAGCGGGTTGCACGCCGCAACAATTATTGAGGCTATGTGTTTACATTTGAGTATTGATTCCTTGTTCACTGTGAACCTAAGTTGCTTTAGTTGTTACTCTGGATTATTGTTATTATTGTAACTCCCCATAGCATGTTTCCCCTCCCATGTTGGTAATTGCTTTGTATTCGATATCCGCTGTATATCTATAACTGCACAGGTTTATGTGGTGTCCAGTCTAGCCTCGTCACTACTTCGCCGGGGTTAGGCTAGACACTTACCAGCACATGGGGTCGGTTGTGCTGATGCTACACTTCTATGCATTTTTGCACAGGTCCAGGTTTTGAGGAACGGCAGCAGCAGTAGTTCGGAAGCAGGCGATTCATATTCACGAGACTGAGGTAGCCTTGCAGGCGTCCGCAGGCCCGACGTCTCTTCTCATTGTTTTCTTTTAGACTGTTGCCTCCTTGTTTCGAGACAGACAGCTATTATATTTCTTTCAGACCTTTGTATTTAGTTTATCCTTAGTGGTTCGTGAGTAATGTGACACCAAATCTTGGGTAGAGGTTGTTTTTGACTATTCCGCGTTTTAAATTCATCATTTTAAGACAGACTTCCGCTATTGTTCTTATTAGACTTTATGTTCTATATTGATGTTATAAACTGTTAAAGATAATTGCTAGTGATGGAAAGGTAATTAAGTTGGCTTGCCTAGCTACCACGAGTAGGCGCCATCACGACTCTGATGGTGGGAAATCCGGGTCGTGACAATTTAACTTTCAAATTTTTATTTACTCTTAATGGATGATTTATTATCTCACAAATGTCTATGCTTGTTTTAGATTATAAATTTTAAAAAAATATCTTTCTTTCTTAAACCTTATGTCCAGTCAAATAACGCAACATTTTCTTTGGGAGTTCTAACGCCACATAAATTGGGACGGAGGGAGTAGTATATTTTATTGGTTTCTGAGGGTGCAAGGATGACGTTTTTTATGCTATTTCGTTTGTTTGATTCACTGAATCAAGATTTTAGGCTTGGAATATAGTTGATTGTGATTTATGAAATGTACAAAAGGTGTATTTGTTTCGTAGTGTGCATTGGTTTATTGTTTGGATGCTCTTGCTTTGTCTGATTGTTCTAAGTGTCTATCTCTCACTTACTTTACATGATTTTCTTGAGACTCGAGAGAGTTATATATACCGAAGAAGTGATAGATGAAGCAGTGTTTGTCACAGTATATATTACTGAGCTACACTTCGTACTCCTTTAATTTTCTTGATTAGATGGATACCCTATTCAATCAAGAAACTGAGCAAAAAATAATTGAAGAAAGAAACTTCCTAGTTTTTTTTTGGGTGCTAAATAGAAGGATTATTATTAATAAAGCAGGAAATTAAGTAGTAGTATCAGGACAACTTGGGACTGATCTGAACGATGCAGTCCCTAAATAGTCTTTGCGGAATATTAAGAACAGTGGCAAAGCCACATGGTCACAAGGGTGGTCAATTGACCACCCTTCGTCGAAAAGTTCCACTGTGTATATAGGTAAAATTTACGTTTTAGAGATATATAACACATATTGAACACCCTTTGTCGAAAATATTTTTTCACTTCTTTCAAATTTGAATACCCTTAAAAAAATTCCTAGCTTCGCCACTGATTAAAAAAACAAATAGAGGTGGTTTCCTCCAAAATTCGTCTTTGCGCTCAGCATTTAATTTATGTGAGTCCCAGGTACTCCCATATTTTGCTAAAGCCTGCGCGACTTGATTCCCTTCGAGATAGGTGTGCCTAACGGGCAGTTGGCCCATTACTTCGAGCATGGTTTTTGGTCCATTTCGTTCAATGCTTTAAATTGGACATATTGAGTAACCATATAAAATACACAAATTTGGTTCGCGTAATAAATACTT